CGAAGTACCACCTTCGCCCTCACCTCCCCTGCACCCTCATGCGGCCCGGCTATGGCCGCCAGTGCTCTGCGAGCAGGCAGCGCCCTACCGCCTAGCGCTGCCCTGCTTCTTCTTAGCGCAGCGCTGCTCTGCATTAGCGCAGCACACTTGCATCTGCGCAGCGTGCCCGCATATGCCAGCATTGGCCGATATCCCTCCTGCCTTGCCCTGCTTGCCTATATGCCAGCGCAGCATGTGGGCGGCCTCCCTTCAGCCTGTGACCGGGGCCCAGAGGCTGAAGCCAACTCGATACAGTTGGGCCCCGAGGTAAGGCAGTTGCGCCTCCTTCATCAAGGCCTGCGGCCAGATTCAGACAGTGGGCCGATTTTCCCTTTGGCATTTTCGGCCTCTCTTCCCAGCATGCATTGTCGGCCTCACGTTCAGATGCCCAAGGCCTAACTAACTCAGAGGCCCTGGGCTTTCAGCATTTGCTGAAATCCGAGACTCGGTGCACTCCAACCAACTGGCGTGCTGCAACTGTATGGACCCCACTTCGTGAAATGTTGCACAGAGGGCTCTTGTCGATTTGCTGGCCCGCCTTCACTTAGGGCGGGCACTAGGCTTGCTGGGGCCTTAGCCCAGAACATGTACATCATGGCAAGGCCCCTAGATGAGGGCTCAATCCTCACAAAACTTTGCTGACTTCGATGAGGTCGGGGCGGGGGTCATGGAAACTAATGTCCGGTCGGTCCTTCGGGACATCCGTTAAAATTGGAACGATACAGAGAAGATTAGCATGCCCCCTGCGCAACAACAACAACAAAAAAAAAAAAAAAAAAAAAAAAAAAAAAAAAAAAACAAACAAACAAACTAATGCCCGGTCGCTGCAAATTTGGGTGTACAGTGGAGGAAAAAACAACGAAAAAAGAAACTTTGCTGACTTGGATGATGTCGGGGAAAGGTAGTCACAGGGGCCGTGCTCTGGCTAGTCCTTTCCAGAATGGATCTGTCTAATATGATGGCATGATTCGCAATGTTCTTTTTTTTTTTTTTTTTACTTTTCTAGACTCCCCTGCCAGCGAGGCAGGGCGTATCCCATGATATGCTCAGACGCCCTCATTGAGGACATTCTTACATGAATGTATCAAACCAATTCCTGGGGAAAGGGGTGTTTCGTTTTTTTTTGTCTTTTTTCTTTATTTACTTTCTTCAAATTGACAACAAGGCGACGGGGTTGAGACACCCTCATTCAGGGCATGGTCACACTGGCACATTGGAGAAGGTATCCATCTGCATTATCTCTTTCGTTGGGGCTGATAGGAACTTCATATTGATAGTGGGGTTCAGATCAGCGGAGGCAGCGAGAGGAGAAGAGGAGAACAGGAGAACAGGAAACGAGGGGAGAGGAGGAGAGCACATGGAGGAGGGGGAGGGGTGGAGAGGAATAGTCATCAGCATCCTCATCATTATCCAACAATTTAGTGATCATCTCGGGGTACTCGTCAAATTTCATCATCAGAAAGGTTTTTTATCAGGATTCTGATATTATCACATCCTAGATTTCTAGTTGGCATTCTAGCTTATCTAATTTCCTAATTGAGCCTTTTTGTGTAATGGCCAGGTTGAGTTGGCGCTAGAACGACGCTGGCCGGCGCTGGGGCGGTGCCCTGTAACCTGCTTTGGTAGGAGCTTGAGGCGTTGTATAGAGGTCTGGGATTGCCGAGGGAGGAAGGTGATCTGCAAACTTGACTAATGGCTACAATCTGGCCGACGATGGTCGGAGCTGGGGTGGGTAGCGCTGCCCTGTAACCGAGCCAGAATGGGGTGTGAGACCAGGAAGAGGCCTGATTGGTGCACAGCACAGGCTCAGTTGTGATTGGTTTGTTGGAATGGATACAGGAATTTAGGGATAGGATAGTATTTGAGTGCTGGGTAGACAATCATTCTGATTCGTCATCATCTATCTCTATTCCATGATGTCAATCATCCACTCTATCATCCTGAATCATCCTAAATCATCCTCAATCATCCCAAATTATCATCAATGATCATCAATGATCATCAATCATGAATGTATTTCCATTATAAGGGACGCTGGGCCCGGTTCGCAGCACGTGCTGCTCCCCACGAATAGATTGGAGCAATTAAAAAAAAAAAAAAAAAAAGTCCTTAGCGTGTTGCATTTTCTTTCTTTTCCCTTTTTTTTTGCTACTGGTTCGCCCAGGTTCGGTCTGTCCTGCTACTGGTACCTCCAGGGTCGGCAAGCTTGGCATACAGGTCGCCCGAGGGTCGGACTGCATAGCTGGCCGAGGTGCTGGTGGCTTAAACCACCAGTACACCCGACCTTGGTGGCGCTGTACTGCGCGCCAAGCTTTCCAGCGGCGCAGTTTTTTTCTTTTTTGGCTGGCAGCCATTGTGATCTGGTAGCCCCCAGCCTCCAAAATTTTAGGAGTGAGCCATGAAGAAATCTTGCAAGGCTGGGGCCGCGTACGGGTGGTTTAAGTCTAAAGCCAACACTTGATCTTTTTTTCTTAATTTTTGACATGCTTATTCTTTGCAATACGAGGTAAATCTGAGCTTGAAATCTTAGATTCTACCTTGGATGAGTGCCTGGATGCCTTCCTCAAGTGACTGGGCATATCCACACTGCAGTTCCGTTAGGGGTGTGGTATGAGGCAGAAATCGAACCTCGAATGGCCCAAGATTTGACTTTGGGCTGATCCAAAGTTGAAGTCTACCGTGGATGCGAATCCGAGATAGATTTTGAACTTGGGGGTTCAAAAAATGTTGCCCAAACCAATTGGAGGTGAGCTTGGGGCTGCTTGGCCACTTTCTTGGCCAATTCCAAATTTTAATTTTGGGATGAGATGGGGAAAGGGGGGGGGGGGGSGGKGGAATCATGTGGGGGTTTCTAGGACAGAAAGGACTCAGACTTACCTTTTTCAGAAGCCCGAGGTCAAGTCCCCTCCAAAAAGAAAGGGGGCATCAAGTGGGGGTTGAATCTGGCCTAGTGCAGGGCAGGCTCACCAAGGGGGAAACCTAATGTGGGCTCCAAGGTGTGTGTGATTTTATGTTTCGGAAAGTCCAAAGATAGTGCTACACTGGAATGGGTATGAGAGAGAACGAGTGGCAGACTGCGGCAACAGTCTGTCAGGAAGAACGCAGTAGGATGGAAGTCACATAGGAATTTAGAAATAGATCTCAACAGTTTTGAACAAACCCGAATATACACGAGCTCAACCTTCACAATGCAATAGAAATCAATTCCACATCACGCATGCCCAATGCCGAACTTCCAATGCCACCATAGCCAGACCTCCCCAAAAAGATCGACACAGCAAATTCCTTCTACCGATTTCATTCGTTTGCTAGCGGAATCATCAGGAAGGTGCTCCTTAGTAGCCGTAGATTTGCGGAACAAAATCCAAAGGGCGATGAATCCAAAATAAAATAAAATAAATTATCAAAAACCGACAGCCGAAATGCATTAGAAACCAGAAGCCTCCTAACTATAAAGGCACATGTATCAATCACAAGATCTTCCAACAAACAAAATAAAGGAAATGTAAATAACTGCGAGTGACAAAACCTCAAAATTGAAAGGAATGTAGATGAGGTAACTATGCAGGTGCGTTTGCCCAGTCTAACATGCAGGCAGTTACAACCTGGTCACTTTTACCCACGGCCCTCATACCGACCACATTTCTGAAACGTCTTCATGCCAGATATTGATGGTTCAAAACCCATCTCGGTACCTTGCTGCTTTTTTCCGCAGTGTGATACGAAGCATCGCCCACAGCTT